GTATGTATTTTGGTATTTTTTATGCTTTCTGAATGCCTCCAGGTAGATGTGATCAGGAAATGGGCTTCCCTTTTCACTCTTCTTCCTGAGAAATTTCATGATACCACTGTTGGTTGTTTTGATGTAATTTAGAATTTTATTTTTGGCCTATTTCCTCTTTTGTCTGCTTGGCCCACTCCACAATCCCTGTTCAAGTCTTTTTGCTACTTGGAAACAGTTCAGGGCCGGATGTGGCCCGTTTTGGTTTTAATTGGAAACTGTCTCTTTAAATTTTGAGGAGATCTGTGCGCATGCATAGTAGAACCCTCCGACGGTGGGGCTGGTGTGCCCACTAGCTCAGGCACCCCTATAGTCACCAGAATGGAGGTGCACAGATAACAAGGGACCAATGAACAGCTACCTTTATCTCAGCGGTTCTGCCAGGTGTCTGTGGCCGCTCCGAGCCTTCCCCCGCGTGGTCTCCCCCAAGATGGCGGCTCCTGGAGCAGCTGAGCTTCCCCAACTAGAAAGCAATGGGTTTCTTGCTTCTGCTACAAATTCCTCCAGCTATAAGCCTTCCAACCTTCTACATATTCCTCTATATGTTGTTCAGAGTTCTGGGACCATCCCCTGAACCTGCTTGGTTGGATAATTTGTGTTGTTATTGGCGGAGCTCTTTGCTACACCTCCACCCGATCCGCCATCTTGTTTGTTCCAGATTTCAATTTTTATGACATCAACTTCTGGTGCCTTGTTCCTTGCCAATTCCCTCAATTCACCTTGGACTTCCTCCCTGAGTATCATTGGCTCTTGTTCATATGGTACCTCTTGAAATGGTTGAACATTAACCATTTCCTTTTGATCCAGTGGCTCTGTGTATTCCTTCCTACTTCTCTTAATGCATTCTGCATCATTCAATAATTTGCCCAGAGAATCTTTCAATAACAAAAGTCGAGGCTTGAATTTTTTATTCAGTTCTCCTAACCCTTTCTGTAGAAGTGTTTTTTGAAATGCTCTAGCTAAGAGCCCTTATACATTAAACCACAAAAATCTTATTGCCATTCAGTGAATTCTGACTCAAAAGTGTCCTATATGATGGCATAGGACTATTCCATAAGGTTTCTGGGGCTGTAGATCTTGATGGAAGCCGATCGCTTCAGCTTTCTTCCTAGGATTAGCTGCTGGGTTCAAACCATCAATCATTTGGTTAGCAGTTCAACACTTAATCCACTGCACAACCAGGGATCCTTCTTACATGTTGTCATTGTCATTAAATGCTGTCCAGTTGATTCCTACCCATAACACACCTGTATAGGTTCGCTTACACATTTGATTAGTAAATTTGTAAGTTTTTTAAAAAAATTTTAAGATTGGAAAGCTATATCTTTGTATGTCATGATTGCTGGCCTGTAATCTTTGGAATTAATGTTTGTCACCATTTGCCTATCTTAGTCTGTTATTCTTTTTTCTAATGTTTTATTGTGAATACATGGGAGAACATTAGTTTAACATTCATCCCATCGTATATCGTTTCATTGCCATGATTACAGTCCCCTCCATGCATCATCAACCCACCAAAGGGTATACCCTACAAGCCTAGCCCCCTCGTCGTCAGCACACAGCCCCTCTCCCTCTCTGTGTCTAAAGTCCCTAGCTGCTCCATCTTGCCACGTCACCGTCTCTGCCTCCATCTCAGGAATCACTGCTTCTCTGGGTAGGGTCCCTCTCTCCACTCTTCTCCCTTGATGGTCCCAGGGACCTCCACTCCTAGACTGCAAAGTCAATAACTCCATTCCTTTTGCTACAAAACATCTACTTTTATATTTCCAACCCTCACAATCAGTCCTGATAACAATTATTCACCACTATATCACAAGAGAAGGAGCTTTGGTAGTGTAGTGGTTACGAATCGGGCTGCGGAACCTCAAGGTCAGTATTTCTCCTTTTGTGACTGACTAATTTCATTCAACATAATGCCCTCAAGGTTCATTCATGTTATGCAGTGGCTTACAGGTTCCTTGATGTTCTTCAAGGTAGCATAACACTCCATTGTGTGTATGTACCACAGTTTGTTAATCCATTCTTCAGTTGTTGGCCACTTTGGCAATCTCCATCTTTTTGCTATTGTAAATAGTGCTGCTATGAACATTGGTGTGCATATATTTACTTGCATTCTTAGTCTGTTAGTCTTTGATCACTCACTAACTTAATGTCAAGATGTGTTGTTGTGTAGTTTTTATTTTTTGTTTTTAATGTTTCCAAGAAGTATCATTTCCAAGTATTTAGAAACAATAATTTTAAATAGGCAGTACTTATACACATGTAAATTGTTTGATACTGAAATATTTTACTATCTGAACTTGTGATTTTCATTATTCTTTATTTAAGAATAAAATAAAAATAATACTAATCTTAACTGTTAGAATGATTGTTTGAAAACTTTTCACATCTGAAAGGAGAGGTAAGAATATGGAAATTGACTCTGAAAGAAGGAATATATTAGATTTTTTTTTCTACTTTTTTCTTATTTATATTTCCTGTAATGTCAGGTATTGTTTTGTAATAGGGAAGGAAACTTTTTTTTTTTAACTATCCTTTTTCAAAAGTTTACAGTCTACCTATATATGGGTAGTTAAAAGATAATAAAATTATATTGACTATGAATCAAAGGAGTTTTATTATTGTATAATAAACTGACGTTTTCAGGAATATTTTTATAATATCTTGATGATTTTGTTTTATAGATGCCCTATTTTAATCTCGTGAAGAGTTTAACATCTACCTTTCCAAATGTGTATAGGATATCACGGTAAGTTTATGAACCATATTCAATTACTGAGATTATAAACCATACTGCTAATGAGTTTCTATTCTAAATTATAATGGGCTAGTCCAAAAAATTTAGTATGTTGATTAACTGAGTGCCATGCATTGGTTCTAGGTGATCTCTGCCTTTTCCAAAACCAAAAATATAATAAAATTTAAACCCATCTCAGAACCACAGTGAACAAAGTGTTGTCTTTTTTGACTTTTCAGGTTCTCAAAGACCTGGTTATAAAAATGAACTATTGATGCATTGTTTAGCAAGGACAGAATCCTGTGCGGTTTTTGTTTGTTTTTTTAATAAGTCATCATGATCTTTTGGGTTCATGCTTAATTTCCCAGAAGTATTAGGGCCTAAGTTTTCATTATCTGATTCTACTATATACATGTGTGTGCACAAGGGAGCTTCAAAGAGTTCACAGAAAAATTCCATTATCTTTTTCGTTCCATTTTTCCATGAACTTTTTGAAGCCCCCTATATATGTGTGTGTATCATTTTTACTCAAAAATGAAGTCATCACACTTAATCAGCTACAGTAAGTCTTAACATCACATTACTTTTGCCGTCCCAGGTTTCATCATACCACACCCACAGTGTGCTGTTGCAGTAAAACACAGAGTGGTGAAAAGTACGCCGATCCTTTTAAACTCGGTTGGAGAGACTTGAAAGGCCTGTATGAGGACATTCGAAAGGTAAGATCTTGGCTAATGCTGTCAAGTCAAATGGATTTTTAGAATTATGAAAAAGCCACGTGCGTTTTCAGAAAAGCACAATGCCAATACATACTCAATTTGTGTTCATAAATAGCAAATGTTTCTTGAGCAACAACCATGTGCAATCCAGTGTTGAGCAATTTTCAGGATGTCTTACAAGTTACCCTCCAGGAAGAAGATCTTGCAAGATTGTACTTCTGATAGTACAGAATGGTGAGATTAATTGCCTCACCCTTCCTTTCATTATTTCATTGCCATTACCTACTCCAATAAACACTGAACTGCTAACCACAAGTTTGGCAGTTCAAACCTTTTGGTCACTTTTTGGAAACCCTGTACAGACAGGGTCACTATGAGTCAGATCTGACTCGACAACACTTAACAACTCCAAGCTTAACTGAAACAAGAAGCTTCTCAGTGGCTTCTGCTACTGTCTTTCTTACCCAGTTCTCAGTGCCAGACTGCCCCAAATTCTAATTTTCCCCCAAAACTTCCAGTGACCCCAGCCTCATGCAGATTCTGAAATGCTGCCGAGAAATGATTGCATCTCCTTGCCAACTTTCAGATTTCGCCACTTTCTTCAGGCTCCACCCTACTATTTCTCTCATATTCTCACAACAATATCACTGTTGTTGTTAGGTGCCATCAAGTCAGTACCGACCCATAGCGACCTTATGCACAGCAGAATGAAACACTGCCCAATCCTGGGCCAACCTCACTACTGTTGCCACGCTTGAGTCCATCGATGCTGCCACTTGGCCAATCCATCTCGTTGGGGGTCTTCCTCTTTTTCTCTGACCCTCCACCTTGCCAAACATGATATCCTCCTTCAGCGACTGGTCCCTCCTGACAATATATCCAAAGTATGAGACATGAATTTTGGCCATCTTGGCCTCCAAGGAGCACTCTGTCTGCACATCTTCCAAAACAGATCTGTTGGTTCTTTTGGCAGCCCATGGCACTTTCAATATTCTCCTCTAACACCATAACTCAAAGGCATCAATTTTTCTACGGTCTTCCTTATTCACTGTCCAGCTTTCGCATGCATATGAGGTTATTGAAAATATGGCTTGGGTCAGGCGCACCTTAGTCCTCAAGCTGACGTCTTTGCTCTTCAACACTTTAAAAACAACATTACCTCCTATTTAATAGACAAAGCATGGGGCAGGAACTCTGCACTCCTGCTCCATCTCTGGGAACAGTCTCATCTGCACCCATCTATGTGTTTACTCCCTTCCCTCCCAACTCAGAGAAACTGTTTCCCCTTCTACAGGCAGTTCCTTATCTCTGCAAATCCCATCCCCTGTGCCTCCTCTTCTCTTCCTTAGAAACTGCTCCAGCAATCGTCTGCTTTCTCTCCTTTAAGTGCAAACTCGCCCTTTTCATTGTCTTTTAAAGGACCATTCCTAGTACCTTTATCTCTGTCATTATGCCCATACACCTAAGTGCTTACCAGTCAGCTCCAAGAAGTACCCGTGATGTTGTTGTTAAATGCTGTCGAGACGGTTCCAACTCATAGCGACCCTGTATGGGGTTTCCAGGGAGTAGCTTGTGAGTTTCAACCACTGACCTTATGGTTCAACCTGGCCTTGCAGTCCAGTGCCTTAGCCCACAGTGCCACACCAGGACTCCTTCCATGAGAAATATCTCAATCTTCTTGTTGTTAAAGTGCTGTAGAGTTAGTTCTGACTCATAATAACCCTATACAGGGTTTTCAAGAAGCTGCTGTTGAATTTGAACTGCCAACCATGCGGTTCAAAGTGACCTTGAGATCGAGTGCTTATCCTTCTGCGTCATACCAGGACTCCTGACCACCATGAATTGGGTTTTCTCTCCTGTTCTTATTATTTATGGAAGTGCTGTTGAGTGGGCTCCAAATCACAGCAACCATATGCACAACAGAACAAAGCACTGCTTGGTACCATGCCAGCCTCACAATCCTTATTGTGTTTGTTGTTGTTAAGTGCCGTCGAATCGATTCCGACCCATAGCGACCCTGTATAGGGTTTCCAAGGAGCAGCTGGTGAGCTTGACCCACCGACCTTGCAGTTCAAACGGCTTTGCAGTCTGGCGCATTAACCCACAGCGCTACACCAGGCCTCCTTATTATGTTTAAGCCCATGTTTATAGCCTCTGTGCCAATCCATCATGTTGAGGGGCTTCCTCTTGTTGCTAAGCTTCTACTTTACTGGGTAATGTGTCCTTTTCTAAGTGCTGGTTCCTCCTGATATATGTCCAAAGCATGGAAGACAAAGTCTCACCATCTTAACTTCTAAGGAGTATTCTGGCTGTACATCTTTCAAGACAGAAGTTTTTGTTTTTCTGGCAGCCAATGGTACTTTCAGTATTCTTTACCAACACCATAATTCAAATGAATCAATTTTTCTTCTCTCTTCCGTAGTCATTGTTCACTTTTCTTATGCTTATGAAGTAGTCGAAAATACTATAGATTGGGTCAGACACCTTAGTCTTCAGGATGACCTCTTTGCTCTTTAACACTTTAAAAAGGTCTTCTGTAGATTTGCCCAATACATTGTGTCCTTTGATTTCTTGAGTACTGCTTCATGTTTATCATAATGTAGTCTACTAGTCCAGTTATGAAGAATTTTGTTTTCCTTACACTGAGTTGTAATACTGAGGGCTATATTTTTTGATCATCATTAATAAGTGCTTCAAGTCCTCTTCCTGTTCAAGGTTGTGTGTCATCTCCATATCACAGGTTGTTAATCGGAGGAGTCTTCTTCCAATCCTAATGCTATGTTCTTTATATAGTTCACCTTCTTGGGTTATTTACTCAACATACAATTTGAATAAGTATGGTGGAAGAATACAACCTCGACACACTCCTTCTTCTGAATCTGTCTTGAATTTGTAGCAGTTCACTGTGTATGTACTTCTTCAATCATAATATTTTCTTCAATGAGTTCCTCATTCTGTAGGGTCACCTTTCTTTGAAATGGGCTAAAATATAGCTCTCTTCCAGTCGATTGGTCAGATAGTTGTCTTCCAGATTTCTCTTCATTGATGAGTGAGTGCTTCCAGCCCTGCATCAGTTTGTTGAAACATATCAGTTGGTATTCTTGCAATTCCTGGAGCCTTGTTTTCATCAATGTCTGCAGTGCAGCTTGGATGTCTTCCTTCACTACTGTATGTTCTTGGTCATATGCTACTTCCTGAAATGGTTGAACATCAACTATTTCTTTTTGGTACAGTGACTCTATGTATTCCCTCCATCTTGTTTTCATGCGTTCTGCATCATTCAATAATTTGCCCATAGAATCTTTCAGTATTATTACAACTGAGGCTTAGAATTTTTCTTCAATTCTTTCAGCCTGAAAAATACTGAGCATGTTCTTTCCTTTTGGTTTTCTGACTCTAGGTCTTTCTTTGCACATGTCTTCTTGAGTTGCCCTAGAAATTTTCTGTTCAGGAATAAGTTCCAGAGTCTCTTCAGACATCCACTTTGGTCTTTTCCTTCTTCCTGTCTTTTTAATACTCTTTTGCTTTCTTCATGTATGATGTTCTTGATGTCATCCACAAGTCATTTAGTCTTCAGATATTAGTGTTCATTGTGCCAAGTCTGTTCTTGACACGGTCTCTAAGTGCAAGTCAGATATGCTCAAGGTCATATTGTGGACTTGTTTTCTTTTTCTTCAGTTTCATCTTGCATATGAACGGTTGATGGCCTATTCCGTAGTTGGCCTCCGGCCTTATTTTGTATTGAGCTTCTCCATTGTTTCTTTCCACTGATAATTGTCATTTTGATTCCTGTGTATTCCATCTGGTAGAGGTATGCATATATAGTCTTTGTTTAAGTTGTTGAAAAAGATATTTGGAATGAATAAGTTGTTAGTCTTGCAAAATTCTACCATGTGATCTCCAGGATCATTTCTGTCATCAAGGCCGTATTTTCCAACTGCCAATCCCTCTTTGTTTTCAACTTTCTCATTCTAATACCAGTAATTGTGCATGCATCTTGATTGTATGTTTGATAAAACTCAGACTGAAGAAGTTGGTAGAATTCTTCAAATTCATTATCACTGGCTTTAGTGGTTGGTCCATAAATTTGTATAATAGTGATATTAACTTGTAGGATATTATCGTATCACAGACAGCATTGTACTTCAAGACAGACTTTGAAATGTTCGTTTTGATGATGAATGCAGTACCATTCCTCTTGAATTTGTCATTTTCAACATATTATACCATATGATTGTCCAACTCACAATTACCAATACCTGTTCATTTCAGCTTACTGATACACTGGGTGTCAGTCTTCGTGTATTCCATTTCATTTTTTGATGACTTCCAGTTTTTCCTAAAGTCATACTTTTTTACATTCCATGTTCCAATTATTAGTGGGTGTTTGTTATTGTTTATCATCTGAGTTACGACCCATTAGAAAATGAAGGTGCTTTGTTCCATTTATATCATTAAGATTGACTCTACTTTTAGGAGGCAGCTCTTCCTCATTCATATTTTGAGTGCCTTCCAACTGACGAACTCATCTTCCAATATTATATAAGACTCATAAGATTTCCAGTGACTGATCTGTCGGAGGAGCTCTGGTAGCGTAGTGGTTACGAATCAGGCTGCGAACCTTAAGGTCAGCGGTTCGAAACTACCAGCCGCTCCGCGGGAGAAAGATGAGGCTTTCTACTCCCGTAAAGATTTACACCCTCGGAAACCCTGTACAGGGTCGCTATGGGTCGGACCCGACTTCTGTCACTTGGAGGGCCAAGCCAGTCACTGCTCATGGCCTGGCCTTGAGGGCAGCCAGGTTTGTGGACATTCAGTGTTGAAACCTTTTCCCACTGAATGTTGCATTTTCTCACTTCAGATGGATACACTGTAGTCAAAATGTTGAAGAAGAGATAGAATTCTTCCATCCTATTATTGACTTTCTGTGCAGTTGGTGATGTAATATTGATACAGAGAAACTTTATTTCAGGAACTACTCATATCTACAACTGAACTTAAGGAAATGTCTGAGTACTACTTTGATGGAAAAGGGAAAGCCTTTCGACCAATTATTGTGGTGCTAATGGCCCGAGCATGCAATTCTCATCACAATAACTCTCGGTGAGTTTTTTCCTTTCACGCCTGTGCCGTTTATATATTGAGGGAATCCTCCTTCCCAGGGTGCCCTTTGCACTCTCTTTTAATAATTAGCATATATGTAAGAATGTACATTGCTCTTAGTAAATTCTGACTTTTCTAGAGTTTCTTAATCTTCACTGAAGAGCAACTTCAGCTGGAAATAAACATCTTAGAAAACTGTCATTTTAAACAATTTTCTTATTAAAGACTAGGGTGTCAGCATCCATTTCATTACTCTACACACCGGACAATTAGTGCAAAGGGTGAGTATTGTGAAGTGAGCAGCGGTGCTATCATTCTGTGCAACAACACACCCAGAGTGCCTGCCTGTGATCTCTGAGACATGCCACAGAGACCGGCCCAATAAGAAGATATATTGGCTCCTGGTACTCGACCTTTATATTTTGAATATATGTACAAGTTTTAAATATTAGCACAACTGCAGCATTTTACTATTAAAGGACCTCTTAGAAAGAAAAAAGATTTACCCATTAGCTCTGGTAGCTATCTTCTTCATTCCTTCCTCCTTTTCACCCTTTGTATTTTCAGTGTAAGTGACTTTGTGTTGGACTTTGTTGTTGTTAAGTGCCGTCGAATCGATTCCGACCCATAGCGACCCTGTTTAGGGTTTCCAAGGAGCAGCTGGTGAGCTCGACCCACCGACCTTGCAGTTCAAACAACTTTGCAGTCTGATACATTAACCCACACACCAAGATACTCACCATTAATTTCCTAAACTCTTTACCCTGTTACCTGTCTTTTTAATTGTTTTTTTTAACATCATATAATGTATTGATTGAAAGAAACTTCAATAGAGTAATATATATACATTAATACATTTTCCTATTACTGAATGTTTGTTTAATTCTCTGAATAGGTAACCTTTTAAGGAATGAGTAAGCCATTCCTCAGCACTAAATTTAAGGATGCTGTCAGTAAGAACGAGTGTCAGATAGTTTCTCCCAGCAGACTCGGAGGCCCTATACTATGAACCATTCTTTCTAGTACATGACACCGTGTGCTTGGGGTTGGTGCCCAGTGGGCCTGAGACTTTATAAGACAATGCAAAACTGTTATTTTCAGCTAGCAATAAAATCTCTGTCAATGATGTTTCCAAAATTATCATCAGCACCACTGTCACTTTATGAGGAGGGCAAAGCAGCAGAAATGCCCCCAGTGAATCAAACTGGAAATTCATTCATATGGTCTATAGCAGTGTTTCCCAGCTGTGGCACTGTGGACATTTAGGGGGAAATAATTTTTTGTTGTGAGCATGTTGAGCTGCATTCCTGACCTTTACCCTCTGGATGCCAGTAGTAAATGTCTCCCCGCCCCCCAAGTCAGTGACAACCAAAAATGTCTCCCCACCCACTGCCACTGAGTCAGTTCCAACCCATAGCGACCCTACAGGATAGAGTAGAACTACTTATGGGGTTTCTAAGACTGTACTGTCTTTATGGGAACACATAGCCTCTTCTTTCACCCACAGAGCAGCTTGTGAGTTTGAACCACTGACTTTGTAGTTTGCAGTCCAATACTTAGCCCACTGTACCTCTAGGGCCCCTTAAAAATGTCTCCAGACATTGCCAAATTTCCCCTAGGGAGCTAAATATCCCCTGATTGAGACCCATTGCTGTAGAGAGAGTGTGTATTTATTTTTTTAATTTCTCAAAATAATGCTAAACCAGCTGATTACCTTGAGAGATAACATGTGAAGGAAAACCGGCTCACTGCTTTAAATTCTTGTCACCTGTTATCTCTGTGGGTGGTGGTTTTTTAATTGTGTCATATTGAAACAGTCTGTGAAATGTTGGTTTTGGAAAATGATAATACTGAAAGAGTTCTGCTAGTTTTAAAAGTGGGCAGTACTGCCCTCACCAGGGAATGTTTTCATCTTACTTTCAAGGTATATGTTGACTAGGTTCATATGTCCAGAAAATAAGAGTTGTGATAGATTCTAATATACACCACTGAAATTCCCCTTCAATGAAGGCCTTGCTGCCCCAGCTGCTTCGAGTGCTATTGGCAGAGAGCCTTCAAGTGCCTGCCCTTCAAGGATTGCCTCAGCTGCAAAGAATCCTCCCATCTAGTGCCATGGCTCTTCCCCAGGTGCCCACATCTAGGAGCTAATAAATGAAGGAATATAAACACCTGGTCAGCTTAGGCTTCCTGTAAAGAGTCATTCTAGCTCCAGAGAGCCCCGTAGATCAGCTTCTACCTCTGCCCAGTCCTGTGCCCTCGCTCAAATGTTGATACCAAGGGCAGATCTGCTTCACAGCGAACTCAGCCTACATCAGATATCAGCAAAACTCAAACTAACTGTGAGTCAAGGAATTTGAGTCTAACATCAAGGAATCCAGATCAAAAATGAGCTTTGCAGTAAATAGATTTCTTTTTTAGAAAATGCTACCTTCATTGACTGCAGTGTAGCTTTAGTGTCTATACCGTTCTCCAAGAAGCCAAGTTTACTCTACTGAATTTCATTCCTGTGAGGAAAGTCTTCACTGCCGGGAAAACAGGACTGCCCCAGGATACAGTGCTCTTAGGGTGCAGCTCTGTTGGTCTTAATTCTTCAAATAATCAAATGGCAGTGAATCCTGCTAATACAAGAGACCTTCAAAACA